TCTCCTGCCTCAGCCTTCTGAGTAGCTGAGATTACAGGTGCGCGCCACCACGCCCAGCTAATTTTAGTACTTTTAGTACAGACGGGGTTTCACCATGTTGGTCAAGCTGGTCTCGAACTCCTTACCTCGTGATTAATTGCCCTCCTAAAGTGCTGGGATTACAGGCGGGAACCATCAGGCCCAGCCTTTTTGTGTCGTCCTTCCAGACCCTCCAGTGCCACCTCACCCCTAAAACCTGTTTTCAGCAGAGTAAAATCCGAGCTTCAACCCCACTGACAAGGCCTGACCTGACCTTGCAGGACACCATCGCCTGCTCCCATCCCCTGCTGCTTTCCCCTGTTCAGGACACCCCAACCACACTGGCCTTCTACCGTCCTTGAACTTGCCAGGCACACTCTTGTTTGAGGCCTTGACACTTGCTCTTCTATGTGTCCAGGACTGAGTCTCGCTCGGTTGCCCAGGCTGGAGTGCAGTGGCACAATCTTGGCTCACTGCAACCTCTGCCTCCCGGGTTCAAGTGATTTTTCTGTCTCAGCCTCTCAAGTAGCTTGGATTACAGGTGTGTGCCACCATCCCCAGCTAATTTTGTATTTTTAGTAGAGATGGGGTTTTGCCGTGTTGGCCAAGCTCGTCTTGAAATCCTGACCTTAGGTGATCCACCCACTTCTGCCTCCCAAAGTGCTGGGATTACAGGTGTGAGCCACTGCACCCGGCCTGAATGTTCTTCCAGATATCCAGAATGGTTGTTTTTCCGTCTCCATGTTTTCACTCAAATTCCTTTTTCTCAATGAAGCCTTTTCCAGCCTCTTTTCTGAAATCACAACTTCCTTGGTACTCTTATCCTTCTTTGCTTTATTTTTTTTTCCCTTATAAGTGATTATTTTCAGGCTGGGCATGATGGCTCACACCTGTAATTGCAGCACTTTGGGAGGCAGAGGCAGGTGGATCATGAGGTCGGGAGTTCGAGACCAGCCTGGGCAGCATGGTGAAACCCCCATCTCTACTAAAAACAATACAAAAATTAGCTGCGCGTGGTGGTGGGTGCCTGTAATCCCAGCTACTCGGGAGGCTGAGGCAGGAGAATCGTTTGAACCCAGGAGGCAGAGGTTGCAGTGAGTAGAGACCATGCCATTGCACTCCAGCCTGGGCGATAGAGCAAGACTCTGCCTCAAAATAAATAAACAATAAAACAATGACTATTTCCTAATATATTACACATTACATGTATTTATTGTACATCTTATTTGTGTGCCTACTCCACTAAATATAACTTTGCTCTCAATTCAGGCAGTAGCCTTTTTAGAAAAACCTTAAAAATTATTTATTTATTTTGATACAGGGTCTTGTTTTGTCACCCAGCCTGGCATGGAGTGGCATGATCTTGGCTCACTGCAACCTCTGCCACACAGGCTCAATCGATCTTCTCGAGTCAGCCTTCTGAGTAGCTGGGACTACAGGCATATGCTAACATGCCCAGCTAATATTTTGATTTTTTTGTGGAAATGAGGTCTCACTATGTTACCCAGGCTGGTCTCAAACTCCTGAGCTCAAGGTATCCTTCCACCTCAGCCTCCAGAGTAGCTGGGACCACAGGCACACACTACCACACCCAGATAAAAAACTTATTTTTTTCTTGCTCTGTCATGATCTGAAATGCAGTGGCACGATCTCAGTTCACTGCAACCTCCACCTCCCGGGTTCAAGCAGTTCTCCTGCCTCAGCCTCCCAGAGAGCTGGAATTATAGGCACTTGCCACCACACCCAGCTCATTTTTATATTTTTTAGTAGACATGGAGTTTCGCTATGTTGGCCAAGCTGGTCTCGAACTTCTGACTTTAAGTGACTTGCCCACCTTGGCCTCCCAAAGTGCTGGGATTACAGGCATGAGCCACCGTGTCTGGTCTGGTTTTTGTTTTTGTTGTTTTTAGAGACAGGATCTCACTGTTTACTCAGGCTGGAATGCAGTGGTGTGATCACAGCTCACTGTAGCCTCGAACTCCCGCCTCAGCTTCCTGTAGCTGGGACTACATGGTACACACCACTGTGCCTGGCTAATTTAAAACAAAAAAATTTTTTTTGTAGAGACAGGGTCTTGCTTTGTTGCTCAGGCTTGTCTGGAACTTTTGGCCTCAAGCAGTCTTCCTGCCTCAGCATGTCAAAACCCTGGGATTACAGATGTGAGCCACTGCACTCAGCCATGACTGTTTTTAAAACACAAAGTGGCTCACTCCGGTAATGCCAGCACTTTGGGAGGCTGAGGCAGTTTGATCGCCTAAGGCCAGGTGTTCAAGACCAGCCTGGCCATCATGGTGAAACCCCATCTCTACTGAAAACACAAAAATTAGCCATGTGTGGTGGTAGGTGCCTGTAACCCCAGCTACTCAGGAGGCTGAGGCAGGAGAATCACTTAAACCTGGGAGGCAGAGATTGCAGTGAGCCAAGATCATACCATTGCACTCCAGCCTGGGTGACAGAGCAAGAGTCTGTCTCACTTAGTAAAATAAAACACAAAGTCCCATACTCCCAAGTGGCCTCAGTTCTGGGCTAACTGGGAAGGTTGGTTACCCTGTTTACTAGCTTTTCTTTTTCTTTTTTTTGAGACTGAGTTTCTGTCTTGTTGCCCAGGCTGGAGTGCAATGGTGTAATCTCGGCTCACTGAAACCTCTGCCTCCCAGGTTCAAATGATTCTCCTGCCTCAGCCTCCCGAGTAGCTGGGATTACAGGCATACACCACCACTCCCGGATAATTTTGTATTTTTAGTAGAGATGAGGTTTCTCCATGTTGGTCAGGCTGGTGTTGAACTTCTGACCTCAGGTGATTCACCCACCTCGGCCTCCCAAAGTTCTGGGATTACAGGTGTGAGCCAGTTCGCCTGGCCTGTTTACTAGTTTTTCTACTGATGTCCTTTTTCTGTTCCAGGATTCCATCAAAAACACCACATTGCATTTAGTTGTTCTGTTTCCTTAGTTTTTCATTTACAGTGATTTGTGGGTCCTTCCTTATCTTTCATGACCTTAACCCTTTTGATTTTTTTGGTTTTTGCTTTTTTTTTTTTTGGTGGGGTCTCACTTTGTTGCCCAGGCTGGAGTGCACTGGCGTGACCACAGCTCACTGCAGTCTTGACCTCCTGGGCTCACACGATCCTCCTGCCTCAGCCTTCTGAGTAGCTGGGACTACAAGTGTGCACCACCACACCCAGTCAATTTTTTGTATTTGTAGAGATGGGGTCTCCCTATGTTGCCCGGCTGGTCTTGAACTCCTGACCCCAAGCAGTCCTCCTGCTTCAGCTTCCCAAAGTGTTGTAATTACAGGCATGAGCCTGGCAAGAACTCAATACTATTGAGATATACTCGTCAGGTATTTTGTAGAATGTCCTTCAACTCTGTTTTGCCAGATGTTTTCTCATGATTAGAAGAGGGTTATGAATTTTGAGGAAAATCCAGAGAGGTGAAGAGGTAACGTAGGGGAGGAATTTAATCTGTTTTATTTACTGCTGTATACTCAGTGTCAGGAACTTGGCCCATTGTGAGTACCAAAAATCTGCTTTTTGAATGAATAAGTGAATAAATGAGTGACGGTGGAAATTTAGTATTGTTTTAAAGTTTTAAAGTGTTGATATAGGCCAGGTGTGGTGGCTCACACCTGTAATCCCAGCACTTTGGGAGGCCAAGGTAGGAGGATCATTTGAGGTCAGGAGTTAGAGACCAGCCTGACCAATATGGTGAAACACCTGTCTGTACTCAATATACAAAAATTAGCCCAGCATGGTGGCAGGCGCCTGTAATCCCAGCTACTTGGATGAGTGAGGCGGGAGAATCTTGAACTCAGGAGGAGGAGATTGCAGTGAGCTAAGATCGCACTACTGCACTCCAGCCTGGGCGACAGAGTGAGACTCTGTCTCAAAACAAACAAATAACTATTCTTTGGCCAGGGTTCGGCGGCTCTTGCCTGTAATCCTAGCACTTTGGGAGGCCGAGGAGGGTGAATTCCTTGAGCTCAGGAGTTCGAGACCAGCCTGGGAATCCCTGTCCTTACCAAAAGAAAAAAAAAACAAAAACCATATATATATATAAATATATTTGTTGTTGTTGTTGTTTTTTGAGGCGGAGTTTCGCTGTTGTTACCCAGGCTGGAGTGCAATGGCGCGATCTCGGCTCACCGCAACCTCCGCCTCCTGGGTTCAGGCAATTCTCCTGCCTCAGCCTCCCGAGTAAGCTGGGATTACAGGTGCGCGCCACCATCCCCAGATAATTTTTTGTATTTTGAATAGAGACGGGGTTTCACCATGTTGACCAGGATGGTCTCGATCTCTTGACCTCGTTATCCACCCGCCTCGGCCTCCCAAAGTGCTGGGATTACAGGCTTGAGCCACCGCGCCCGGCCTATATATGTTTTTTAAATGTATATATATGCACACACAAAAAAATTAGGCGGGAGTGGTGGCATACGCCTTTGGTCCCAGCTACTCGGAGGCTGAGGCACGAGAATCGCTTGAGCCGGTGAAGTCAAGGCTGAAGTGAGCGGAGATCGCGCCACTGCACTCCAGCCTGGGTGAAAGAGCAAGACCATGTCTCAAAACAAAGAAATAAAAACTACTCTTGGCACGTGTTAGATTTTCTCGCGGGCAGAATTGGGAAAGGAGTGCCGGACACAGAGTAACATCTTTATATGTTAACAGACGCTGATATTCAGCTAAAGCTGAACACATTTACTCTCTGGCAATGTTTAAAAGTATCCGTCTTCCTCACGTCGTTTTCTAAATTTTTTTTTCTGGATCAAGCAACGTGATCGCTTTCCTCATAACTAGCCAACCGACCCGTGACAGCAGAACCCGCATAGGCTCAGTGACCCCTGCAAGTGTGCAGGTAGCGCCCCGGACTACGTTTCCCAGAAGGCACTGTGAACGCACTTCCTGCTTGGTCGACCTGCAGGAAGGACCAATCCCTGAGTGCCTCGGGAAGGAAGCGCCCGGAGCCGTGGGCCTAGCGATCCCGGAAGCCACCACGCGGCTGCCCGGCCTGCCACTATTTCCAGGCTCGGCGGGGGCAGTGATGGGCCTAGACTCCACTTCCCGGCGGGTAGTGCGGCCCTAGGGGCGGGACTTCATGTCCCAGCAGGCTCCGGGCGGCGTGTGCCGCGGTGCCTTGTGTGGGATGTAAGCGGAGGTGGGCGCGGGAGACCGAGGCCAAGACTCTCCTTGGGGTTTGGGGGCTTGGTCTGGGTGCGCTTTCTGGACGGACTCTAGGGCCCCGGGGGGCACAGTCGTAGAGAGGGAGCGGGGCGGCATTGGGGATAATCAGCGGGGTCCTTGGGGCGCACCTCATTGGGACCGGGGGTCACGGAATTGTGGGGCACAAAAAGGCTCTGCAGCCTCCGCCGAGGGGTCTCACCGACAAAAGACGGGAAGCGGGTGAGCAGAGGCTGAAGAGGGCGGGGAAGCAGGGGAGCTGTGCGTGTGTCGCGGGGTGGAATCTTAGCGGAGCCTGGGAGGTGACTCCCCGGCCGAACCTGCTCGACCCTCCCTCCCCCGGCTTGCCTGCAGGCCGCCGCCCACCCCCCGCCGCAATGGGGCTGAAGGCCGCCCAGAAGACGCTGTTCCCGCTGCGTTCCATCGACGACGTGGTGCGCCTGTTTGCTGCCGAGTTGGGCCGAGAGGAGCCGGACCTGGTGCTCCTCTCCTTGGTGCTGGGCTTCGTGGAGCATTTTCTGGCTGTCAACCGCGTCATCCCCACCAACGTGCCCGAGCTTACCTTCCAGCCCAGCCCCACCACTGACCCTCCTGGCGGCCTAACCTACTTTCCCGTGGCCGACCTGTCCATCATCGCTGCCCTCTATGCCCGCTTCACCGCCCAGATCCGAGGTGCTGTCGACTTGTCCCTCTACCCTCGAGAGGGGGGTGTCTCCAGCCGTGAGCTGGTGAAGAAGGTCTCCGATGTCATATGGAACAGCCTCAGCCGCTCCTACTTCAAGGATCGGGCCCACATCCAGTCCCTCTTCAGCTTCATCACAGGTTGGAGCCCAGTAGATGGGAATCTTATCCATGACCCACTTCTTCACAACTCTCCATGGTTTACAGAACCCTGAGAACTGTAAGCCTTGTGAGGTTGGGCAGGTTATTTTCCTCTTTGCAGTTGGGAAACTGAAGCCCAGAGAGGGAAAATTATGTGCCAGAATCACACACGGCATGGCAGGGCTGGAAGTGAACCCTGATCCCTTGCCTCCAAATCATCAACCTCTCCTCTGCCCCCTCAGCACCTCTGCCCCTGCCATCGAAGAGCCACAGGAGTCCTAAGCATGGGGCGGGGGGGGGGGCAGCAGATTTAGGGGGCAAGAAGATGAATTGGGCTGCATTTGAGGCAATTAAACAAAATAATAGCTATAAAGATGTTTTTGTTTTTGGGTTTGTTTTTTTTTTTTTCTGAGGCAGGGGTCTCACTCTGTCCCCCAGGCTGGAGTGCAGTGGTGTGATCATAGCTCACTGCAGCCTCAACTTCTCTGGGCTCCGAGATCCTCCTGCCTCAGTGTCCTGAGTAGCTGAGAGTACAGGCATGCATCACCACACCTGGCTAATTTTTGTATTTTTTTTGTGGAGATGGAGTCTCACTGTGTTGCCCAGACTGGTCTTGAACTCCTGGGCTCAAGTGATTTGCCTGCCTCAGCCTCCTAAAGTGCTGGGATCTTTGGGCCACTGCATCTGGCGATCTATGAAAATGTTTTGAGACAGACCAGGATCTTGAGACTCAGGGCTTGTAAAGAGCTTCCTTGCACCAAGCCCGGATGACTGGCAGTCTCATCATGATGTGCCGTATTGAGAAGGAATCAGAGGCTGCTTCTCGGCTTTGCAGGAAAAGAGTGCAGAAATAAATGAGGGTTATCTGTTGGTGGGTGTATAAAAAGAGAGTGTTGGCCAGTGTCCTGTTTTTGCCATTCCTGTTTTAACGTATATTCAGTGCAGTAAAATGGAATCCTTAAATTCACGGAATATATAATATATAATAGATTTGCAGAGAAAGAGAGATAGGGTCAAAGGCTGGGTCAGCAACAGGAGATCCAGAAACATATCTTGTTGGAGATAGAGGGTGTAAACAGGGAGAGAAAGGCTTTGAACATGTGGGAGAGAAGGGGTGGAGGGACGGTGGACAGGAGCATCTGAAGTTGGAGCACAGGCCTGGAAAGGGAGTGGGAGGGAGTGTGGCCCATACCTGGCTCCCTTCCCTCATGCCAAAGCACAGAGGACCCTCTTTCATTACCTCCCCCTTCCACAGGCACCAAATTGGACAGCTCCGGTGTAGCCTTTGCCGTGGTTGGTGCCTGCCAGGCCCTGGGTCTCCGGGATGTCCACCTCGCCCTGTCTGAGGATCATGCCTGGGTAGTGTTTGGGCCCAATGGGGAGCAGACAGCTGAGGTCACCTGGCATGGCAAGGGCAATGAGGACCGCAGGGGCCAGACTGTCAACGCCGGTGTGGCTGAGCGGGTATTGTCCCCTCCCCCAACCTTGACCCCTTCATACTCAGGTAGCCCAAGCCACCCAAGGGACTCTACTTTCTCAGGCCACTGCCCTTTCTTCCCATCAACACCCACATAGGAAGGGAAGACAGAAGAGCCCCTTTTCCTGGCTGTCATTCCCTGAAGCAGGCACAGGGTGAGCCATCCTGAGACATAATGGTCTTGTCCCCTCCCAAGAGCTGGCTGTACCTGAAAGGATCATACATGCGCTGTGACCGCAAGATGGAGGTGGCGTTTATGGTGTGTGCCATCAACCCTTCCATTGACCTGCACACCGACTCACTGGAGCTGCTGCAGCTGCAGCAGGTGAGGGCTGAGCCCAGGGGCACTGGGCAGGATCACTTTCCCTACCTGAGCTTCAGCTTCCCTACTTGGAAAATGGGTTAGTAATTCCTGGCCTGGCCTTTCCCAGGGCTCTTGGGAGAGTGGAATTGAGCTGTGAAATTGCTTTGATTCCTTTAAAGGGCTGATCCCAGAATTTTGGCCTTTCTGCATGGTGGGCAGTCCCTGATGGTTCTGTCCCCCACCCTGCCTGATAAGCTAAGGACCCATTCTCCCTGTCCCGTAGCTCATAACTCTTTCCTTCGGCCCCTAGAAGCTGCTCTGGCTGCTCTATGACCTGGGACATCTGGAAAGGTTTGTAGAGGGAAGTGGCCAGGCTGGGCCTTGCAGGGCCAGGGGGCTAGCTGGCAGCCTGAACTATGATGCTTTTCCAGGTACCCCATGGCCTTAGGGAACCTGGCAGATCTGGAGGAGCTGGAGCGTACCCCTGGCCGGCCAGACCCACTCACCCTCTATCACAAGGTGGGGGCATCTAAAGAGGGTACAGAAGGGAGACCCCCAACCGTGACTGAGGCCCCTGCTTTCTGGGGTTCCCCCTCATCTGGACAGATGAGGAGAGAACTGTGTGTTGGGGGGTATCGCCCATCCATCTTACTTTGTATCGGTTATGTACAGAATCAGTGCAGTCAGGGCTATCTGAAGGGTGTCCAGGGTTCATAGCCTGGGAGTGGCAGGGCCTGCATTTGTCCCCTCAGCCTTGCCTTTTCTGCCACTCCTACTTTCCTTCCTGGAGTATAACAGAGGTCAAATGTGGTAGGAGCACTGCGGGGGGGTTTTCACTTGGTGGGTGTAGAAGGGACGAGGGCTGTTGGGCTGGGCTTGGAAGCCTTTGGTGTGTGTGTAGAAGAGTGTCTGGGCAAGAGAAGGGCCCTGAGCTCAGAGGGTAGGCCCCACCCCTACAGTCTGCCCCAGGCCTCGGCCAGCAGTCCTGCAGACCCAGGAAGACCAGGTACAAGGGCTGGCAGCTAGCGGAGGTGGGAGTGGAGATGAAGAGGACTCTCTGGGATCTTCCTGTGGCCCCTTCTGGGTGTGCCGTGATGGGGCATCTGTGCCAGCAGGGCAGCTGGGGCTACCTCCCTGAGGATCCTCTGCCTCACCCCCAGGGCATTGCCTCAGCCAAAACCTACTATCGGGATGAACACATCTACCCCTACATGTACCTGGCTGGCTACCACTGTCGCAACCGCAATGTGCGCGAAGCTCTGCAGGCCTGGGCGGACACAGCCACTGTCATCCAGGAGTGAGGATCCCCTGCTAGGGCGTGCATCCTGTGCTTTCTTCCCTTCCATCAGTTTCCAACCTCCCTCGTCCAGGACTGAGGCCTGGGTCCCAAGCCCTGTCCCCTTTCCTCCCAGTCCCTAGGCAGCAAGGCCACCATCACCCAGGAGGTAGGGACCCCTGATTAAGGTGTCACATCTTTCCCTTTTTCCTCTCTCCTCCCAGTAGTTTTTCTCAGAACAGTCTCAAATTTCCTCCCAATGTTTAACCACTATCATCTAGCAGTGGGACTTCTACCCTTGGCCCCATTCCCCCTCATTCTTGCTCTAGGGTGACTCAGACAGCATCATTTTGCAGTGAGGATCCCACCTACTCCCCCAGCTCCTGGAGTGACCCAAGAAAAAAAACCTGGGCTTCATCCCCCACCAGGTCCCTGGGGCTACACCCCATGGTGAGACCCCTTCAGACCCTACAGAGACCCTCCTGCTCTCACAGCTACAACTACTGCCGGGAAGACGAGGAGATCTACAAGGAGTTCTTTGAAGTAGCCAATGATGTCATCCCCAACCTGCTGAAGGAGGCAGCCAGCTTGCTGGAGGCGGGCGAGGAGCGGCCGGGGGAGCAGAGCCAGGTGAAAGGCTGGAGCACCAGCCTGTGTCCAGCCTCCCACCTGGGCAGGGCACCCTGCCACAGGCCATGGGGGCTGCATGTACAGGACTAGGAATGGCATGAGGAAGGGGTCCCCAGGCAGAGAGCTATGTTCCCTTTTGCTGTAGCTGAGGTCCTGGGTCCACGGTAGACGGGGCTGAAGGTATTTTAGAGGTTTCTACTCTGTGCCTTCAGTTTCATGCCAGAGTCCCTCCTACAGCTGAGGGGTAGGTGGTAAGGCATGGTGCCTTCTGGCTATGAATTGGCTTTAGAAAAGGAAAGAGGTTCTAAGATTGTTCCTGACCTCTGCTTACCTTTTCTGGAGCCAGGAGTCTTTGCCTAGGTGGGGGCCTGGCCAGTGCCCTCTGCTAAGGGGTAAGAGACTGATCTGTGCCCTCCCTTCCCCCTTGTCCAGGGCACCCAGAGCCAAGGTTCTGCCCTCCAGGACCCTGAATGCTTTGCCCACCTGCTGCGATTCTACGACGGGATCTGCAAATGGGAAGAGGGCAGTCCCACGCCTGTGCTGCATGTGGGCTGGGCCACCTTCCTTGTGCAGTCCCTAGGCCGTTTTGAGGGACAGGTGAGGGACAGCTGCACAGAGGTCTGGGCACTACAGGTGGTGACGGCAGCCACAGGCTTGTCAGACTTTTCTGGCCCAGGGGCAGCATCTGCCCATCCCCTTAGGTGCAGATGAGACTGAGACCCCCTGGGTGGGATGGGATGGCCAGAGCAGAAGTTCCAGCCACTGGCCGGCAACCTTGCCCTCGGCTTGCTCTCCCCTTTGGCCCAGGTGCGGCAGAAGGTGCGCATAGTGAGCCGGGAGGCTGAGGCGGCCGAGGCAGAGGAGCCATGGGGTGAGGAAGCCCGGGAAGGTCGGCGGCGGGGCCCACGGCGGGAGTCCAAGCCAGAGGAGCCCCCGCCGCCCAAGAAGCCAGCACTGGACAAGGGCCAGGGTGCGGTGTCAGGACCCCCCCGGAAACCCCCTGGGACAGTCCCTGGCACAGCCCGAGGCCCTGAAGGTGGGAGCACGGCTCAGGCGCCAGCACCCGCAGCATCACCGCCGCTGGAGGGTCCAGTGCTCACTTTCCAGAGTGAGAAGATGAAGGGCATGAAGGAGCTGCTGGTGGCCACCAAGATCAACTCAAGCGCCATCAAGCTGCAACTCACAGCGCAGTCGCAAGTGCAGATGAAGAAGCAGAAGGTGTCCACCCCTAGTGACTACACTCTGTCTTTCCTCAAGCGGCAGCGCAAAGGCCTCTGAACTACTGAGGACTTTAGACCGCTTGTGGGGACCCAGGTCCCACCCTTAGTCCCCCCACTCTGAGCCCATCATGTGCCCCAGCCCAAGGGGGACAGGCCTCACCCCTACCCGAACCCAAGGCTCCAGGTCCTGAGTACAGTCTAACCCACAATTTTCTCCAGCTCAGAACCCAGGGCCCTGCCCCAGTCGGTAAAATATAGGTCTCTTCCCAGAATCCCAGCCAGCCAATGTAAACCTCACCCTGGGTCCTAATTATCTTTAAAGGCCCAACCCCTGGGATTTTGGGCCCTTAAAGCCCCAAACCCAAGCTCCTCTTCAGAACGGAGCCGCTCACTTAGAGCCAGACCAACCTTACACAGGGCTGCTCCGAGCTTGAAGGAACTGAGGTTTCATCCTTAACCCAACGAGCACAGGTCCTGCCTCCAGCCCAGGAGCCTAGGACCCCACTCAGTCCCTAGGATTATATTTCCGCACTTCAGAATTCATGTCTTGCGAAAACAAACTCCCTACCCCCAAAGAACTTGAGTCCTGCTCTAGAATTTTGAAATCTAGCTTCCTCGCCTTCCTATCCCAAGTCTGGGACACGAAACTCCGCCCCCATGAGCATCCTGAGCCCTGCCCTCTTCCTGACCAAACTGGCCCCGGATCAGAGCCTGACCACCCTTCCTACCTCTGGGAACCTCGAAGAGGTCCAACCCATCTCGGAGCATCCCGGAGGAAATCTGCAGAGGGTTGGGAGTGGGTGACAGGAGTCTGATCTCTTCCTGTTTTGTACATAGATTTATTTTTCAGTTTCAAGAAAGATGAATACATTTTGTTAAAAAAAAAAAATACAAAGCGCAAGTCCATGTTTCATCTGGGAAATTGGGAATGGGGCGGGAGTGGAGCGCCCCCTCTTCCTTCTGCGGACCCTCTGGCTCCCAGGACTTTGCGCTCTCTACCTGTGGAGCGCCAGCAATGGTGGAGGCGGAAAGACAGGATCCGCCCGAGTCTCGGGACTTCCCCGCGTCGCCGAGGGCCAGTCCCGCGAGCGCCTCCTCCCGGCCGGGCGGCGGGGCATCCCCAGCGCTGCCCCGCCCCCGGGCCCCGGCCCCGCCTCCGCGGCCTCAGAGCCACGGGAGCCCGCCCCGCCCCGCCCCGCGCCGCCCGCGCCGGCTCCGCAGCTTGCGCCTGCCCGCCTGCCGGCCCGCCCGGCGCCGGGCCATGGCGCTGCTGCGGGATGTGTCGCTGCAGGACCCGCGGGACCGCTTCGAGCTGCTGCAGCGCGTGGGGGCCGGGACCTATGGCGACGTCTACAAGGTGCGCCGGGCGACGGGACGGGCGGGAGAGCCGGGAGAAGGGTGCCAGCCCCGCACCCCGCGGCGGGATCCAGCCCCGGCCCCGCCCCCGCCCCCAGCCCACTTCACCCTCCGCCCCTGTAGGCCCGCGACACGGTTACGTCCGAACTGGCCGCCGTGAAGATAGTCAAGCTAGACCCAGGTGAGGGACTGGGCTGGGCCTCTGCGCCAGAGGGAGGGCAGAGCGCCCGCGGGCAGGAGGTGCAGGCGGAGGGTTGACGTTTCCAAGACCCCTGAGAGGCATGCCCCAGGAGGTACTATCGCCTGGCACCTGCTTGGCCCGGAGGGAGGCACTCTGTGCCCATTTTGCAGATGGGGGCACTGAGTCAGGGCAACCCAGCACACCCCCCCCATGATGCTTTGTGCTTCCCAGGAGACGACATCAGCTCCCTCCAGCAGGAAATCACCATTCTGCGTGAGTGCCGCCACCCCAATGTGGTGGCCTACATTGGCAGCTACCTCAGGTGAGGCTGCCTTATCCTCCTCTCCCCAGGCAGCCCCCATATGACCTGCTGTGTGCCCACCCCAGCTCTCTGTCCCCCAGGAATGACCGCTTGTGGATCTGCATGGAGTTCTGTGGAGGGGGCTCCTTGCAGGAGATTTACCATGGTGAGGCCAGCGCTCCAGGCCCCAGACGGCCCCAGCTTTCCCCCACCCCCATACCACTGGAGTGCCTGAGGGGACTCAGGGCCCTGGACTTGGACTCCTCTCCACTTCTGCCTATGTGACCTTGAGAGAAAAGCTGTCCATCTCTGGGTTCAGTTTCTAGACTAAACTGGGAAGGAATGTGGCCAACACTGCTTTCACTTAACAGTGCCTGCTGCTTTTCCCACACAGGGTAGCCCAGGAGGGTGGGCATGAACCCCGGGCCCCCAGGCCCCCCAGACCAGCCTCTCCCTTTCCCTTTCAGCCACTGGGCCCCTGGAGGAGCGGCAGATTGCCTACGTCTGCCGAGAGGCACTGAAGGTAGCTGGGCCTGCGAGGTGCCTACACCTCCGGTCTCCAGAAGCTGTGGGCCCGGAGCCCAGATGACCAGCAGCGAGGCGGGTGGAGGGCCTCGGGTGGGGCTGGCCTGAGGGGCTGTAGGTCCTGGGGGAAAGGGGCCCCAGCCCTGTTGCCGGAAGCAGCCCATTTCCCTCTTGGCTCAGTCACTTCCTGTTTGGGGAGAGGGGAGGAAGAAGCAGCGTGGGTGGGGGGCCCCAGTCCTGAGAGGGGGTTCAGGGGAGGTGGGACAGTGCTGGGTGGCTGCTCTCAGGGACTCCTCTTTGTCCCCAGGGGCTCCACCACCTGCATTCTCAGGGGAAGATCCACAGAGACATCAAGGTAAGTACCTGGCCGAGGGCATCCTGGGTGGGAGGAGGAGGCCCTCGGGAGCACCAGACGGGATTCTCTCTCCATTCCCACAGGGAGCCAACCTTCTCCTCACTATCCAGGGAGATGTCAAGCTGGGTCAGTACCCTGGGGACACAATCAGGGTGAAGGTTCTGTGGACCCTTCTTGGCTACCCTGGACTCAAGTGTTGGGTGTCACTGGGCCAGTCACTTTGCCACTTGAGTCTCAGTTTCCCTGCTTAGAAGATGGAACGGTATTCCCTCCCTGCTGGAAAATGGATGAGGTTGGGTCTACACGGAGTTGACATGGGATCAGGCACTCTGTCAGGACTAGAGGGTGGTTGCCTTCTCTCAGGAGAGGAACCTGGCCTTGCCTAGGGCCTGCAGCAGCTGTGGCTGAGCGGGGCCACCTGACCATCTGAGCCCCAGGCGTGGGAGGGATAGTGGCAGCCAGACTGCCGGTGAGAGTGGCTGTTTCTCCCCACAGCTGACTTTGGGGTGTCAGGCGAGCTGACAGCATCTGTGGCCAAGAGGAGGTCTTTCATTGGGACTCCCTACTGGTGAGGCTGTGCCCTGGGGCAGAGGGGCGGGGGCTACAGCAGAGAGGCACCTGGCCATCCCATCTGTGACCCCACCTCTAGGATGGCTCCGGAGGTGGCGGCCGTGGAGCGCAAAGGTGGCTACAACGAGCTGTGTGATGTCTGGGCCCTGGGCATCACCGCCATTGAGCTGGGCGAGCTGCAGCCGCCTCTGTTCCACCTGCACCCCATGAGGTCAGCCCAACACTTGCCCCTCACCTGACCCTTGACCTGTGGCCCATGGCCCCTGACCTCGCGCCCTCCGCAGGGCCCTGATGCTCATGTCGAAGAGCAGCTTCCAGCCGCCCAAACTGAGAGATAAGGCTCGCTGGTAAGGGACATACCCTGCACCAGGGCTCCTTCTTCTGCCAGCCCCATAGTGGACAGGGGCTGCCAACTCCTGGTGCGTAGCCCCAAGAGCGCTATCCTTTCTGGGCCACTACAGACCATCTGAGTGAGGGCTCTGGTCCTTCTGTGGACTGAAGACCCAGTGGGGTCAGGAAAGAAGGGCGGTGGGTTGGTGGAGGAGCAGCTATGTCACAAGGCAGCATTGCTTGTGGCTCTTGGCGTCAGCTGGCTCCTTCCTGGGTAGGCCCAGCAGACGCCTCTGGAGGGGTGGCGGCGCAGCTGGCAGGATGTCCTCCACGAGGGCTAACCTGGATCTGGGGCTGGGGGGCGGTTCTTGTGCCCACTAGGACCCAGAATTTCCACCACTTCCTCAAGCTGGCTCTGACCAAAAATCCCAAGAAGAGGCCGACAGCAGAGAAGCTCCTGCAGGTGGGAGGCAGGGGGCTGGGTGAGGGCGCAGTGCTCAAAAGCAGGGCCCTGGATCAGGGGCCAACCTGATCACCTCCTCCCCCACTTTCCAGCACCCATTCACAACCCAGCAGCTCCCTCGGGCCCTCCTCACACAGCTGCTGGACAAAGCCAGTGACCCTCATCTGGGAACCCCCTCCCCTGAGGACTGTGAGCTGGAGGTAGGTGAGGGGGGCTGGGAGGTAAGTCTTGGGCTGATCTGGTTAGAAGGAGCCCAAGGGTGATGTTGGTGGAGGTCCCTTTAACTGGTGCCATTCCACCTCGGGGAGCTGGCCTTGGTTGAGCCCTCCCATTAGGAGGTTCTGCCATGCTGAGTCTGGCTCCCTGTACCTCCCCCTTGGTCGGTCCCTGCCCTTGATCCCATGCTCATCATGACCATGACTGTGCTATTTTCTTGCTTTCTGTGTGATCTTTGGCACCTCTCTGTGCGGGTTCTGTCATCTGCGAAGTGGGGTTCCATTTTATTTTACAATCATCCAAGATGGATATCGTGAAAGCAGAATGCGTTGGTGTGTGTGTGAAGCTCCTCCAGCAATCCTGGCTTGAGGTGTGTGCCAGGTGTGCCCACACCGTTTCTGTTCTTTCTCTTTATTTATTTATTTTTTTAAAGATGGGGTTTCACCATGTTGGTCAGGCTGGTCTTGAACTCCCGACCTCAGGTGATCTGCCTGCCTTGGCCTCCAAAGTGCTTGGATTACAGGTGTGAGCCACCACGCCCAGCCCATTTCTGTTCTTTCTTAGACCTACGACATGTTTCCAGACACCATTCACTCCCGGGGGCAGCACGGCCCAGCTGAGAGGACCCCTTCGGAGATCCAGTGTGAGTCTGCAGCAGGGGCTGTGCATGTGCAGATTTGGGGGGAGGAGGGCTGTGTGTGTACAGATTTGGTATGAGAGTAGGGCTCCATCCTAAGATTCCAGCCACTTAACCCCTGTCCTCTGGACCCCCCAGTTCACCAGGTGAAATTTGGCGCCCCACGCAGGAAGGAAACAGACCCACTGAATGAGCCGGTGAGTGGGCAGGCCATGAGGGGAAGGTGGTGCCCAGGGGTGGGGCAGGGAGGTCAGACAGAGGCCGAGCAGCTCAAATCAAGGGAGTTTTGAAGCTGGGGGGCCTCGGGCCTTGGGCCTTGGGCCTTGGCTGTCCAAGCAGACTTGTCTTACCCAGGGACCTGGAGGCTGGGGGCTCCTTCCTGGGCCAAGTTCTTTTAGGTGGCTGGCTGGAAGGTAGCACAGAGACCCTTCTTTTCCCACAAGGAGGCCATTGTGTGTCTGAGCCCCCATGCTATTCTGCTCAGCCTTGTTTTCCCACCTGTGTGTCGCCGGTGGTCTGACTCACCATCTCTGCCCTCAGAGGCCCTGTCCCCGCCTCTCCTCGCCCCCCAGCCTGTCTCTTCCTCCCTCACTGTCTCTGCGCTTTCTTTCAGTTTCTTGGGCTCTGCCTCCCACCGTCTGTCTCTTTTGTCTCCTGTGTTTCCATCTCACTTTGTCTGTCTGTCTTTTCTCTCCTGAATCTCTTGACCACCCTCTCACATTATCTCTGTCTCTGCTTCTCTCCTGGTGTCTCTGCCTCGGTTTCTCCCAGTGGGAAGAAGAGTGGACACTATTGGGAAAGGAAGATCTGAGTGGGTGAGTAGGGGTGGGGAAGTTGCAGGGGCGGCTGGGGTGGCAGAAACCCTGACCTCTGACTGGGCACAGTGGCTCATGGCTGTAAGCCAAGCAGTTTGGGAGGCTGAGATGGGTGGACCACCTGAGGTCAGGAGTTTGAGACCAGCTTGGCCAATATGGTGAAACCCCATCTCTACTAAAAATACAAAAATTAGGCGGGGCCTGTAATCCCAACACTTCAGGAAGCTGAGGCAGGAGGATCACGGGTCAGGAGTTCGAGACCAGCCTGGCCAACATGGTGAAACCCCATTTCTACTAAAAATACAAAAAATTAGGCATGGTGGCTCACCCCTGTAATTCTAGCTACTTGGGAAGCTGAGTCAGGAGAATCGCTTGAACTCAGGAGGCAGAGGTTGTGTGAGCTGAGATCGTGCCAGTGCACTCCAGCCTAGGCAACAGAGCGAGGCTCCATCTCAGAAATAAATGAATAAATAAAAATAGAAAAATTAGCTGGGCATGGTGGCCCACGCCTGTAGAATCCCAGCTACTCAAGAGGCTGAGGCAAGAGAATTGCTTGAACCTGGGAGGCGGAGGTTGCAGTGACACGAGATTGCACCATTGCACTGCAGCCTGGGCAACAAGAGCAAAACTCCGTCTCAAGAAAAAAAAAAAATTAAGGCTTACCTCTGACCCTTCTGCTCCATTGCCCAGGAGCCTGCTGCAGTCGGTCCAGGAAGCCCTGGAGGAAAGGTGAGGGGCATGGGCCTGGTGGAGCGGCAAAGGGCAGGCAGCCTCAGCGCCAGTCACACCTCACACCTCATGCCTCGTCTCCCTCCCCCAGGAGCCTGACCATCCGGTCAGTCTCAGAATTCCAGGTGCCACACGGAAAGAGGCTGGAGCTGGGATCCAGGCCGTTGCAGAGGGTGCGATTGGAGTGGGATGCGGTCACAGGACGACCTGCTAACGGCCAGACCGGGCCCTGCCCCTCCTGCCAGGAGCTGGACTCCCCAGACGATGCCATGGGAACCATCAAGCGGGCCCCGTTCCTGGGGCCACTGCCCCCTGAGCCTCCAGCTGAGGAGCCTCTGTCTAGTCCCCAAGGTGAGTCCCAGGCTTGGGAGGCCAAGAGGCAGGCCTAGAGTAGGGGCTGCAGTAGAAAATCACAGCACACCTGTGCCCACAGGAACCTTGCCCCCACCTCCTCCAGGCCCCAACAGTCCCCCACTGCTGCCCACGGCCTGGGCCACCATGAAGCAGCGGGAGGATCCTGAGGTGAGGGGGTACTAAGGGGCATGGGGAGACGGGCGGCTACAGCTATCACATCAGCCCTGACTCCCTCCCTCCCTCCCAGAGGTCGTCCTGCCACGGACTCCCCCCAACGCCCAAGGTGCACGTAAGTGCCCCCAGCCCTGCAGTTCCACAGCCCTGCCACCCCCTGCCCCTGCACCCCCTTACCAGCCTCCTGACCCCTCCACAGATGGGCGCCTGCTTCTCCAAGGTCTTTAACGGCTGCCCCCTGCGGATCCATGCTGCTGTCACTTGGATTCACCCTGTGACTCGGGGTAAGCTGGGACAGGGAGGAAGCAGGAACCCTGGGAACCCCTCAGCTTGGGCTGTGGGGGCATGTCTGACCTCTGACCCCATGCTCCAACCCACAGACCAGTTCCTGGTGGTGGGGGCCGAGGAGGGCATCTACACTCTCAACCTGCATGAACTGCATGAGGATACGCTGGAGAAGGTGAGGCCCAGCCGGCTTCAGGGGATGCAGAGGCCTTGGTAGGCCTGGGGTACTGACTGCCTATCCCTCTGTCACCTCCAGCTGATTTCACACCGCTGCTCCTGGCTCTACTGCGTGAACAACGTGCTGCTGTCACTCTCAGGTACAAGGTGGGACGGGCAGGGAGGTGGGGCCCGAAGGGGCTCCATCGCCTCAGCATCCTGCCCACCAATGCCCCAGGTCCTGGCGTCTCCCCTTCTCTGCAGGGAAGTCCACGCACATCTGGGCCCATGACCTCCCAGGCCTGTTTGAGCAGCGGAGACTACAGCAACAGGCTCCCCTTTCCATCCCCACCAACCGCCTCACCCAGCGCATCATCCCCAGGTCAGGAATCCTGGGAGTTCGGGGAGCAGGCGGCAGAGGGACAGGGAGGGGCTGGAACATGGCCTTGCCAGTTCCTGGGATTGCAGCAATCTTAGACATGTTACTTTGCTTCTCTGAGCCCCCGTTTCCTCCTCTGTCAATATAATTGATAGCCTTTTCACCCCCTCCTCCCTGATGGTTGGGAGGCAAGAAGGAGATAGTGTATGTGAAAGGGCTTTCCAGGTTGTGGGAGCTGCGGTTGTTCAGATGTGGGGCTTGACAGTTAATCAAACATTTACTGAGCACTTGTGTTATTGGTCCCTATGCTGGGCTTCGGGACATGGAGAATCCCATGAGTCCTTGCTTTCAAGAAATGGGGGAGATGCGGGGCTGGGTGTGGTGGCTCACGCCTGTAATCCCAATCCTGCAGTCTGAGACAGAAGGATTGTTTGAGGCCATGTGTTTGAGATCAGCCTGAAAACATAGGGAGATCTTGTCTCTACAAAAAAATCAAAACATTAGCTGAGCATGGTGGCCCCAGGCACAGCGCTCTGTGCCGGTTGTGCCAGCTACTCAGGAGACTGAGGTGGGAGGATTGCTTGAACCCAGGAGGTTGAGGTTGAAGTGAACCGTGATGGCACCACTGCACTGAAGCCTGGGCAACAGAGCAAGACCCTGTCTCAAAAAAAAGAAAAAGAGGCTGGGCACAGTGGCTCACGCCTATTATCATAGCACTTTGGGAGTCTGAGGCGGGTGGATCACCTGAAGTCGGGAGTTCGAGACCAGTCTGACCAACACGGAGAAACCCTGTCTCTACTAAAAATACAAAAAATTAGCAGAGCATGGTAGTGCATGCCTGTAATCTCAGCTACTCAGGAGGCTGAGGCAGGAGAATCCCTTGAACCCAGGAGGTAGAGGTTGCAGTGAGCTGAGATCACGCCATTGCACTCCAGCCTGGCAGCCTGGGCAACAAGAGCAAAACTCTGTCTCAAAAAAAGAAAGAGAGAAATGTGGACAGTTAGCACCTGGTATTGAGGTCCAATTAGAAGGAGAGCTGGGAGCAGGTGGAGAGGCCTCAGAGAAACTGGGCAAGCTCAGCAGGTTTGGAAGTGTCAGAGTTTCTAGGCAAAGAGGTATTCCAGGTAGGTGGAAGAGTGGGTATGTGTTGGTATCTGCTGGGACAGAGCAGCCTGGTGAGCTGGGGAGCTCTAAGAGTTTGCCTGGGGTCTGGGCACAGTGGCTCACACCTGTAATCCCAGCAATTTGTGGGGAGGCCGAGATGAGTGGATCAGAGTTCGAGACTAGCCTGACCAACATGGTGAAACCCTGTCTCTACTAAAAATATAACAATTAGCTGGGCATGGTGGCACAGGCCTGTAATCCCTGCTACTTGGGAGGCTGAGGCAGGAGAATTGCTTGAACCCGGGAGGCAGAAGTTGCAGTGAGCCGAGATGGTGCCACTGCAGAGTTCTCCTGAGGGAGGAGGTGGGGCAGCCCAGGCGGAAGCTGCACTGGTGCCTTCCTGCCTTTGATGCTGGCCCAGGATTTTAAAGGAACCCCTATGTATGTTGATCAGAATTCTTTTTGTTTTTCTTTTCTTTTGAGACAGAGTCTTGCTCTGTCACCCAAGCTGTAGTACAGTGGCGCAGTCTTGGCTCACTGCAACCTCCGCCTCCCAGGTTCAAGCAATTATCCTGCCTCAGCCTCCCAAGGTGCTGGGATTACAGGCGTGTGCCACCACACCCGGCTAATTTCTGTATTTTTAGTAGAAACGGGGTTTCTCCATGTTGGCCAGGCTGGTCTCAAACTGACCTCAAGTGCTCCGCTTGCCTCAGCCTCCCAAAGTGCTGGGATTACAGGGGTGAGCTGCCACGCCTGGCTGGATTCTTTCCCTTGTAGGTGATTTGATTCACTAGCTTAGGCACAAAAGGGAATTTAACGACTCATGGAACTGAAAACCCAGAATCAGGGTTTGCTTCAGGCCCGGCCGTGTCCAGGCTTCGGTGGCAGCACAGGTGCCTGTCTGCGTCTCCTGGTTCTCCTTTTCTCTTGCTGTCTTCATTCTCACTGCAGACTGTGGTTTTCAACAGGGGCATGACGAAAGGCCTTGCTGAAAAAGTATTGTTTGAGCAGACTTAGAGGAGGTGATGGCACAAGCCTTGTGGACGCCTGTGGAAGAGGATCCCTGCCAAGGGGATGGCCTGTAAAAGGCCTAGTGGCAGGAGTGGGCCAGGGAAGTCAGTGTGGCCAGAACGAGGGAGAGGGAGATGATCAGGGAAGGCCCTGTGGCCACAGCGCAGCCTTGACTCGGAGCAGACTGGGGGCCACTCTAGAGGAGTGATGTGGGTTGAGACCTTCAGGAGCTCTGTCAGACTGCTGAGTTAAGAGTGGAGTGAAGAGGCTGGGCATGGCGTCTCATGCCTGTAATCCCAGCACGTTGGGTGGATCACGAGGTCAGGAGAGCAAGACCATTCTGGCCGTTCACTGTATTAGTGAAACCCGTCTCTCCTAAAAATACAAAACAAAACAAAACAAAACAAAACAAAAGCTGGGCGTGGCTGCACGTGCCTGTAATACCAGCTACTTGGGAGATTCTCCTACCAAGGTAGGAGAATCACTTTGAACCCAGGAGGCGGAGGCTGCAGTGAGCCAAGATCATGCCACTGCACTCCAGCCTGGGAACAGAGTGAGACTCCGACTCAAGAAAAAAGAAAAAAAAAGAGAGTGAATAGAGTTAAGGAGGTGAGGGTGGAAGCTGGAGTCCCGTCAGGACACTGCAGGAGGTGGTGGTGGTTTGCGCCAGGGTAGCAGTGATGGAGGTGAAAAATTGGTCAGAGGCCAGGCATGGTAGCTCTTGCCTGTAATCCCAGCACTTTGGGAGGCCACAGTGAGCAGATCACTTGAGCGCAGGAGTTTGAGAGCAGGCTGGCAACATAGAGATCTCCCCAGTCTTTACAAAAAAATACAAAAATTAACCGGGCGTGGTGGCGTACCTGTGGTCCCAACTACTCAGAGGCTGAGGTGGGAGGATCCCTTGAGCCTGGGAGGCAGAGGTTGCAGTAAGCTGAGATCGCACCACTGCACTCCAGCCTGGGTGATGGAATGAGATCCTATCTCAGGAAAAAAAAAAAAGAGAGTCCAGGTACAGTGGCTGGTGGCTCACATCTGGAGTCCCAGCACTTCAGGAGGCCAAGGTGGGTGGATCACCTGAGGTCAGGAGTTCAAGACAACATGGTGAAACCCTGTCTCTACTAAAAATACAAAAATTAGCCAGGCATGGCAGTGGGTGCCTATTGTCCCTGCTACTTGAGAAGCTGAGGCAGGAGAATCATTTGAACCTGGGAGGCGGAGGTTGCAGTGAGCCAAGATCGTGCCACTGCACTCCAGCCTGGGTGACAGAACAAGACTCCATCTCAAAAAAAAAAAAAGAAAGAAAGAAAGAAGAGAACAACAGTCAGATTGTGATTCTCTTTTGAAAGTTGAGCCAAGGCATGTGGATCATGAGGTCAGGAGATTGAGACCATCCTGGTTAACAGGATAAAACCCCATCTCTGCTACAAATAAAAAAAAAGAAAGAAAGCTGAGCCAATAGGATTTCCTGATGGAAGAGAAAGAGGAGTCAAGGATGGTTCCAAGGTTTTTGGCCTGGGCATCAGGAAGGATGGAGCTGTCATCAGCTGGGGGCGGAGCAGTTTCAGGGGGAGCCGAATTCAGTTTTGTTTCATGAAGATGCTTATTAGATGTGCAGGTGGGACCTGCGTCAGTGGCTGGGTGGGGCTGGGCTGTGAAGAGAGGGTTCCTAGGCTGTGGCTCTGACATTGTCATGACCAGGTGGGTGGTGTAGGAAGCAGGGGAGGCCAGGCCAGTGACTGCGACAGCTGGGGAACTCGGGGGTCCTTTCCTGCAGCGTGCTCACTCCAGGACCACATCTGGAGTCCTGTGGCCTTGGGGCTTCCTGAGCTCAGTCCCCAACTGAGCCTCTGCTTTGGCCCAGGACCTACAGGAAACGGGCCCATTAGAGCCCCAGCAGGTCACAGGCAGGTTTGAGCCTCTGTTTGGGAAATGGCAGAGCTACATGAGCTCTGAATGCAGACAGCAGAGAACTAGAGTTGTTTGGAGAAAAAACAAATACAAAATACATACCTCTGGCCCGTCCAAAGACCAGCTGGGGAGGAGAGTGGGAGGACCAGGGACAGTGTGAGGCAGGCATTGGCTTCCTCCACATCCTGGCAGAAGGTGCAGACAGGACCCAGGCTGCTGGATGGAGGTGGCAGGGCTGCTGACATGAAGCCCCATTCCTCAGAGGAAGAAACAGGCTCAGAGGGTCCCCTGGAGGGCTAGGGGACACCCAGTGACCAAGGCAAGGGCCCATCGGATGACTGTCCCTTACTACTTCTCCCCTGGCGACAAGGTGAGCCACTGCCTGGCTCCACAGGGCTCAGCTGGAGAAGCAGAGGGCAGGGTGTTTGCCTTTTGAAGCCCATTATCCGGCCAGGGCTTGTTTTCCAGTCTGTGAAATGGGCCGTGCGCACTCTCTGAACCCCGGTGGGGCTGGAGCATGCCTTCTCCTTGACCCTTTCATGCGCTCATTTCTTCATTTCTTTATACCCTGCCTTCACCTGACAAAGACTTTCAGTGACTCAAAATAGGTGGAAAGTTCTCATATAGGATGGCAGGACCTAGCTCTCTGTGAGCACACACAATTCCCAGCACGCTGAGAGTACCTCCCCTATAAAGGTTTCAGGAGTGGGTTTTCTCAATCTACAGATGAGGAAACTGAGGCATGAAGAGGTTAAGTGGCTTGCCTGAAGTCACACAGAGCTAGAAGCAATTCTGAGACCCAAACCCCTGTCCTGGGTGGAGATACTCTTCCAGCTGCAGGGCTGGGGCACTGGCTTCAGATCCTCCTCCCTTTCCAGCTGCTTGTGGGGCAGGTTACTTTGTGTCTCCTGAGAATCAGTCCCTTACTTGTAAAGATGGAAGATGATAGTGTCCTTCATAGGGTTCTGCAGAGGCCTTGTCTGTGGATGGCACCCTGGACACATGCCTTGGTTGTCACCCCTGCAGGCGCTTTGCTCTGTCCACCAAGATTCCTGACACCAAAGGCTGCTTGCAGTGTCGTGTGGGTAAGAAATGGGATGGGCAGGTGGGGTGAGGCCTAGTGGGGGGGCAGTGCAGGCCCAGCCCAGTGCCCACTGCCTGCTCCCCTGCCAGTGCGGAACCCCTACACGGGCGCCACCTTCCTGCTAGCCGCCCTGCCTGCCAGCCTGCTCCTGCTGCAGTGGTATGAGCCGCTGCAGAAGTTTCTGCTGCTGAAGGTGAGGGGCGGTGCGGGGAGGCCCAGGGCACCCTCAGAGCTCTTCAGGGAGAAATGGAGACTTGAGCATCTCTGCTGCCCCCCAGAACTTCTCCAGCCCCCTGCCCAGCCCGGCTGGGATGCTGGAGCCGCTGGTGCTGGATGGGAAGGAGCTGCCGCAGGTGTGTGTGGGGGCTGAGGGGCCTGAGGGGCCTGGCTGCCGTGTCCTGTTCCATGTCCTGCCCCTGGAGGCTGGGCTGACACCTGACATCCTCGTCCCACCTGGTGAGCAGGAGGGTCAGGCTGCTGGGGGTGGGTGTGCTTGCATGAGGGACCGGGGAAGGAGGCAGGGAGGGAGGACCAAGGCTCCCAGACTAGGGTCCCCACAGCTGATGGCTCCACAGAGACCTTGAGGGCTGCCATGTGGGGGTGGGGGTCCCCAGCCTCCCTTCATCAAGCTTCACCTGCGCTTCCATAAAAGGGTTTATTAGACCACAGGGCTTGGCAGCTAAGAAAATCCTGGCCAGGCTGGGCATGGTGGCTCACGTCTGTCATCCCAGCACTTTGGTAGGCCAGGGAGAGAGTGGGGCTTGAGCTCAAGAGTTTGAGACCAGCCTGGACAACATGGAGAGATCCTGACTCTACAAAAAATTAAAAAAACGTGCTGGGCACATTGGTGCCCACCAGTGGCCCCATCTCCTCGGTCTGAGGCGGGAGGATCACTTGAGCCTGGGAGGCAGAGGCTGCAGTGATACTGCACTCCAGCCTGGGCGACAGAGCGCCTCAAAAAAAAAAAAAAAAAAAAAAAAAACGGCCAGGTGCAGTGGCTCACGCCTGTAATCCCAGCACTTTGGGAGGCCGAGGTGGGCAGATCACCTGAGGTAGGGAGTTCGAGACCAGCCTGTACAACATGGTGAAACCCCATCTCAAAAAACAAACAAAAAAAACAACCTGGTCAACATTGCTTCGGGCAGCAGGGAAGGGTCAGATCTGGCAAGGCAGGGCCTGGGGGCCCCATTCTGAGCCAAGAAGCAGGACTCTAGTCTTGTGGCAGCTCAGGGCAATAGTGGGTAGCGATGGGTAAGGGAGTTGGGAGGGCACATGTGGATAAGGCACCTAGTGCCAGGTCCTGAGCCAGGGGCCTCACACACAGGGTTTTATTTCTTTTTTTTTTTGAGACAGAGTCTTGCTCTGTTGCTCAGGCTGGATTGCAATGGCATGATATCGGCTCACTGCAACCTTCGCCTCCCGAGTTCAAGGGATTCTCCTGCCTCAGCCTCTGAGTAGCTGGGACTATAGGCATGCGCCACCATGCCCAGCTAATTTTTTTTTTTAAGATAGGGTTTCACCGTGATGGCCAGGCTGGTCTTAAACTCCTGACCTCAGGTGATCCACCCACTTCGGCCTCCCAAAGTGCTAGGTTTACAGGTGTGAGCCACCACGCCCAGCCAGAAAATTTTTATATTATTAGTAGAGACAGGGTTTCGCCCTGTTGGCCAGGCTGATCTCGAATGCCTGCCCTCAGGTGATCTGTCCACTTTGGCCTCCCACAGTGCTGGGATTGCAGGCGTGAGCCACCTCGCCCGGCCCAAGATTTTATTCTTGATCCTCATGGTAGCCCCACTAGGCAGTGCCATCTTGCCTGTGTTATGAGGAAACGGATGCTCTGAGAGGTAAAGCAACTGGGTCATGAGGCCTGGTCCCACTAAATCTGGAGCCCTCCTGTGGCTCCCTGTGACTCCCGCCACTCCCCATGAGCCCCACAACGGGTCACACATCCTCTCAGAGCCTTAGTTTCCAGCCCAGGAGTGAGACGAGGTTTCCCAGCCCCACAGGGCTGTTGTGAGGCTGACGTGCCCACATGGCCAAGAGCTGTCTATAGCCTGTCCCCCATGTCCTTTTGGGGCCGGGGGTACAGGTGGCTCAGCCAGGCCGTGTCTCTTCTCTGCCTGCAGAAGGGATCCCAGGCTCGGCCCAGCAGGTGATCCAGGTGGACAGGGACACAGTCCTAGTCAGCTTTGAACGTGAGTGCCCTGGGGGCAGGGGAGGATGGGGGTGAGGGGACCACGTGGGTCTGCCTTCCCAGAAGGAAGCCACCCCATCCCAACCCACCAGTCCCCTCCCTGTGCAGGCTGCGTGAGGATTGTCAACATGCAGGGTGAGCCCACAGCCACACTGGCGCCTGAGCTGACCTTTGACTTCCCCATTGAGACTGTGGGTGAGTGAGCCAGAGGTGGTGTGTGGGCCTTTCCCTGGCCTGGAGCACGTTGTGGCTCAGGGGCCTGGTGGTGGGACGAGGAGGCAGATTCCCCCAGCCCCTCTCCTGAGCCATCCTGGTCACCTGAGGTCTGTGAGGACTGCTATGGCCCAGACCCAGGCCCAGGAATGACTGAGGGGGATCCAGAACGGGTGCAGGGCTGATGGTGGCCTGGCCCCATAGTGTGCCTGCAGGACAGCGTGCTGGCCTTCTGGAGCCACGGGATGCAAGGCCGCAGCCTGGACACCAACGAGGTGAGTGGGGCCAGGGACCTGGCTGTCCCCTGCCTTTGGTCCCCACCTCTTTGGAAAGGACCTATTGGAGTGCCCTCAGTGCCCCCCACCATCTTCCCAGGTGACCCAGGAGATCACAGATGAAACGAGGATCTTCCGAGTGCTTGGGGCCCACAGGTAGGCGGTGGCACCCCAGCCTCCCCTTCAGATGCCCCTAAGGCCAGAGAAGGGGCCGATGTGCCAAGTGTCTCCCACCCTGCCCCCTCCTCTATCCTCCAGAGACATCATCCTGGAGAGCATTCCCACTGACAACCCAGGGGCGCACAGCAACCTCTACATCCTCACAGGCCACCAGAGCACCTACTGAGAGCGGCGGGCCTGGCCAGGGGCTCCCCACCCCATGCCTTAGCTGCAGGCCCTTTTGGGCAAACAGGCCCATCCCAGACCAGAGAAGCCCAGGCCCCAGCCCTGCTGGGGCTGAAGGGCAGAATTAATCCTGAGAAATGTTTCAGGCCTGGGGAGGGAGGGGAGCCACCCCCACGCCTCTGCAATAACTGGACGGGGGGAGCTGCTGTCACTCCCCCTTCCCTGAGGCAGCCCAGTCCCTAGTACCCAAGGCAGGGGCCCTGGGCCATCCATTCCATTTTGTTCCACATTTCCTTTCTACTCTTTCTGCCAAGAGCCTGCCCCTGCATTTCTCCTGGGGAATGTGGTGTTTAGGAGAGAACTATATTGGTATTAAAGCTGATTTGTTTTACTCCTCTGGTCCCTCCGGGTCGGGGGAGTGAACCCACCTCCTCTCCCACCTCCTTCCCTTCCTCTCTCCCTCCCTTTCTGTGTGCACCTCAGAAGGGCAGGGCCCCTGGGGTTTTCGGGAAGCCAGGTAAGGTGACAGGAGGCCATGGTTCCTAGCAGTCATCCGAGGGGCACTGTGCCTTCCCTGTACCCTTGCTCAGAACTTACCCTCTGCTTTGTTGTTAGAGGCCTTTGCTGTAGTTTGGCACCCCAAGGACTCATGCAGATGGGGGGCACCAACAATGGGACTCTAATCCAGGACACCCTTGCCCCACCTAGGATCTCACTGGGTGGCCCCTGGAAGGGCCCAGGAGGAGCCCCCTGAGGGCTGTTCCCTCTAGTCCCAGAGAGGCTGCTGCCCGTGGGGGTAACCTGCATGACCTGTATCCCCTGCCTCCACCTACTGCCCACATATTAGGCCAGGACCGTCAGATGATAGCACGATCATCAGATTCAACAGGAAGGTTAGCCTGTGTCCAGGTAACAGATATTCCTGAGGGCTGCCTCAGTGCCAGGCCCTGGGATCACTATGAGAAACGGACCCGCCTCTGGGCAGGGGCATCCTCCTTGCTGGAGCCTGCATCTTGGCATGGCCATCTCCTGTAGCTTGTGCTTATGCTGCCATTCTCCCAGGGTCTGTCTTCCCCAGCTCCAAACCCCAGGGTCCCCAAGGCCAGGCATCCCCTGTTGCCCCAGGCACTGGCCAGCGCTCTTGCCCTGAGCCTTTGGGCAGCTGAGGCCCAGGAGGCAGGATGGGAGCTGCCTTGAGGGCCCACAATTGGGGGGCGGGGAGGTGGGGGCAGGGTGGGGGTAAAAGCTGGAACAAAGGCCCCATAAATCACCTCGACATTCAAGGCAGTATTAGAGGAAGAATTTTGCACCTGGCGGGCAGCAGGAAGGACTTGTGAAGTGAGTGGTGTGGTGGGCGGTGGGTGGGTGGTAGCCATGGGAGTAGGCTTAGTGGCTCCCAGGGTGTCACACGGTCCCCTCATCCACCCTCCAGCAGAGCTCCAAGTGTTCTGACTCCAGCCAGTGACTGGGAAGGTTTCTTGGCAGGAATGGGGAGCCAGCCCAGGGTAGGGAGCACCTTCCAAATTGGGGGTGGTGGTAACAGGGATACAAAGTGAATTCCTAACTTCCAGTTCTCCAGACTTCTTGGAGGAATGTTGGGACCCAGGTAGGGATCCAGTGGGGACAGGGAGGTGAGCTCCCCCTCAGCAATGGCCCCTGACCGAAGGCACCCTGGGAAGGGCTGGCTTTTCGCCCACTGAGCAGCCGGCAGCAGACAGCGCCACCTTGTGGAGGATCTTCCGGGCCCTCATTCAGTCTGGAAAGGGGCTTTGGACTGCAGAGTGTAATGCCAAAGTGGGAACCTCCTGTAAAACGTTTGCTGCCAGCAAAGGCAGGCCAAGAGCAAAGAAAGGCCAAGAAGCCAGGGAATATGCACTCAGAGACTAACATTTTATAAATTTTATTTATGTATTTTTAAATGGGTAATCTTTGCCCATGATACATATTTTTTTAAATAGAGCAGAGATATAATGAAGAGTCTCCCTCTTACCCCTGTCCCCAGCCACCCTGGTCCCAGTTACTTATGAACCCTTCTAGAAGTATTTATGCGTATTTAAGCAATTTAGTATATTTTATTATTTGCAATTTTTAATACATGTAGTAACATGTTCCACTTATTGTTCTGACCTTGCCCTTTAAAAATGTATCATGATGGCTCACACCTGTAATCCCTGCTTTTGGGAGGCCGAGGCAGGCAAATCACAAGGTCAGGAGTTTGAGACCAGCCTGGTCAACGTGGTGGAACCCTATTTCTACTAAAAATACAAAAAATTAGCTGGGCATGGCGGTGCGCAGCTGTAATCCCAGCTACTTTGGGGGGCTGAGGCAAGAGAATCGATTGAACCGGGAGGCAGTTAACCGAGATCATGCCACTGTACTCCAGCTCAGGCGATAGTTCGAGACTCCATCTAAAAAAAAAAAATTACGTATATATCCTGGAGAATATGAATATTAAATTGTCACATGCACCCAGGAAAAATATATATATTCTGGAGAGTTTTGCGTTATGAAAAATCTCCTTTTAAAAAAATTATTTTTTACAGCTAGTGGTACCCCATTGTGTGTGTTTCCCATAACAAATGTTAATGACCTGCAGTGAGATCCCTATTGGTGGAAACTTGAGTTGTTTTTACTACTTTGATATTACAAACAATGCTGCAATAAATATTCTTATGCCAGTGCCCCTCTGTACATATTCAAGCGTTTCTAGAGGATAACTTCCGGGAAGGAGCATTACTGAGTCAGTGGTGGCTGCGTCTGTCGTGGTAACAGCTGCTGTCCAGTTGCCCTCTATGAGCAGAAACCTGTGAGAGGGTCAGACCAAACATCATTCTTGAGGACAAATAGAAGGGACGTGGTTCCCCCCAGGATGTTCAGGTAACTGGCCTGGACCCGGAGTAGTCCTGGTGGTGAGAGTCAAGGGCAGCGCTATGATGTGTGCTTCGGACGGCGGAGGATCTGCTGTATTCCCTGTGGCATGTCCAGCACCTGCTCACTGCTGGTGCACAGGAGACCCTCATGAGTAAAGGAATGGAAAGATGTGGTGATGAGGAGTCCCTGCAGTCTGCCCTTGGACTGGGTGAGCCACCCCACCTTGCTGAGCTTTACTTTCCATAGGTTTACCATATCCTAAGCCAACTGCAGGGCTATTGGGAGGATCAGAACTACCGTAATAGACATAATGCAATAACACAGATGAATCTTAGAGGTAAATTAAAACAGTACTTCTATGCACAGTATGATAGCATTTTACAATGCTCAAAAACAAGATGAAACCATCTATTACTTAGTGATACATGCACAAGATACAACTCTACTAAAAATCAAGAGAAGGAAAAGCACAAAATCCGAGATGGTGATCGCTGAGAGGAATGTGGGGTGGGATAAGGAGCCCAGGAGTTTGTTAAGGTATTAGTAATGTCTTAGCTCTCAGGTTCTGTGGTAGGTTCATGGGTTTTTAATTTATAAATCTGTTCCTAACTCACATCAGGTGCACACATCCTTTTGTATGTATCAAATATTATGTCATAAAATTTAGTTTGGGCCTGATGGTTAACACCTGTAGTTCCAGCACTTTGGGAACCTGAGGCAGGCAGATCACTTGAGCCCAGGAGCTCTAGACCAGTCTGGGCAACACAACAAAACCCTGTCTCTACAAAAAAAAATACAAAAATTAGCTGTGCATGGAGGCACTCGCCTGCAGTCCCAGCTACTCTGGAGGCTAAGGTGGGAGGATTGCTGGAGCTTAGGAGTTCAAGGCTGCAGTAAGCTATGATCTTGATACAGCCTGGGTGACAGAGTGAGACCCTGTCTCAAAAGGAAAAAAAAAAAAGGAATAAAATTTTAAATATTTAAAAGTAATCTCTGAAAAAAATAGAACTTGCTTGAAAAACAAAACCAAAAACTTAACAGGACACTCCTAGATGACAAAAACAAGTGGAGAGGAATCACTGCAGTCTCTGTCCAGGTAACTGCAGTTACCACCTTACAGCTGCTGCCTTTGAGTGTGTCTTGTTGAAAGACAGCTTTATTGAGGTATAACTGGCGTACAGTAAGCTGCATATATTAAAAATGTGTATTTGATGACTGACATACGTGTACACCTATGAAGCCGTTTCCACAGTCAAGATAACCAACATCCCCTTCACTCTGGAAAGTTTCCCCTGCCCTTGCGAAGCCCGCCCTCCCGCTCCTCCTGCCTCCCATCACCAAGTGACAACTGTGCTGCTTTCTGTCACTATAGGTTAATTTGCACTTTCTAGGATGTATGTAAATAGAATCATACAGTATGTACTTGTGTTTCGCCTGGTGTCTTGCTTAGCTGGGCGTAAGGAGTTGCGAGTCATCTCTGTTGCATGTGTTCATAGTTTTTATTGCCCAGCAGTATTCCGTTGTTTGGATGTACCAGTTTGTTTATTCACCTGCTGATGACATCTGGACCATGTCTAGTTTTGGAGTATTACAAATAAAGCTATGAACATTCATGTACCTGTCTTTGTTGGATATACATATATATATGTATTTTTAGACTCAGTTTTGCTCTTGTTGCCCAGGCTGGAGTGCAGTGGTGCAATCTCAGCTCACCGCAACCGCCGCCTCCCAGGTTCAAGTGATTCTCCTGCCTCAGCCTCCTCATAGCTGGGATCACAGGGGTGCACCACCACGCCCGGCTATTTTTTTTTTTTTTTTTTTTGTATTTTTAGTAGACAGGATTTTTCCATGTTGGTCAGGCTGGTCTCAAACTCCCAACTCAGGTGATCTGCCTGCCTTGGCCTCCCAAAGTGCTGGGGTTACAGGCATGAGCCACCATGCCCAGCCTGTTGAATATATTCTATCATTTCTTGTGAGTAAATACTGTGGAGTGGAAGGACTGAGTCATAGTTAAGTGTTTATTTATATAATTTGAAATGGAGTCTCACTCTGACCTCTCACCAGGTGCAGGGGTCATGCCTGTAATCCCAGCACTTTGAGAGGCTGAGGAGGGTGGATCACCTGAAGTCAGGAGTTTGAGACCAGCCTGGCCAACATGATGAAATCCCATCACTATTAACAATACAAAAAATTAGCTTGGCATCGTGGTGGCACCGGTAATCCCAGCTACTTGGGAGGCTGAGGCAAGGAGAATTGCTTGAACCCAGGAGGCAGAGGTTGCAGTGAGCCAAGATCGCACCACTGCACTCCAGCCTGGGCAACAAGAGAAAGACTTCATCTCGGAAAAAAAAAAAAAAAAAAAAAGTGAGAATAGAGATTTCTTATAGTTCTACAGGCCAGGAGGTAGAGGGGCCCACAGATGGCAAGAGTCTTCTTGCTGTGTCATCTCATTGCAGAAGGTGGAAGGGCAAAACAGCACAAAAGAAGTCAGGGAAAGAGGGCTGAACTAATCCTTTTATTGGGAGCCTACTACCACTAATCCCATTAATCCATTCATGAGGGCAACCTTCGGGACTTCATCACTCTTTGAAAGTCCCACTTCTCAACTCTTGCATTGGAGATTAAGCTTCTAACATGAGCTTTGGGGGACGTGTTCAAACCTGTCTACATAAAGTAATCAAAAGGATCAGAATCTAATTCTAATAGTTTATTCAAGCGCAAAACATAAGGGTGGGCTACCTGGAAACACCAACTCCAAATGAATGGAGTCAGTGTTCCGAAATAGAGAAGTTAAGGTTTCATTTACACAGGCAGAGGCAGAGAAGTTTTTGGAGGATTACATTTTAAAAAATTATTTTTAATTTTTATTCTTTTTGAGACAGGATTTCGCTATGTTGCCCAGGCTGGAGTGCAGTGGCTGTTCACAGGCGCGATCCCACTACTGATCAGCACAGGAGTTTTGACCTGCTCTGTTTCTGACCTGGGCCGGTTCACCCCTCCTTAGGCAACCTGGTGGTCTCCTGCTCTCAGGAGGTTACCATATTTATGCCGAACTTAGTGCGGACACCCGATCCGCATAGCGCACTACAGCCCAGAACTCCTGGGCTCAAGCGATCCTCCAGCTTCAGCCTCCTGAGTAGCTGGACTACAGGCACTCACCATCACGCCTGGCAGGATTACATTTTTTATACACCATCCGTGCATAGTTACAATAATTTGGTTGTAGGCTGGGCGCAGCAGGCCCATGCCTGTAATCTTTGGGAGGCCAAGGTGGGCAGATCACCTGAGGTCAGGAGTTCAAGACCAGCCTGGCCAACATGGTGTGGCTGAGGCAGGAGAATTGCTTGAACCTTGGAGGTAGAGGTTGCAGTGAGCCGAGATTGTGCCACTGCACTCCAGCCTGGGCAACAGAGTGAGACTCTGTCTCAAAAAAATAAGTAATATTAATTTGGTTACATGCAGTGTTTCTTTTGGGAGGCATACATTTAACATTTTTTTTTAAAGATGGGGTTTCACCATGATGGCCAGGCTGGTCTTGAACTCTTGACTTCAGGTGATCCACCCACCTCAGCCTCCCAAAGTGCAAGGATTACAGGCGTGAGCCACTGCGCCTGGCACATTTAACATTTTTTATAGAGGGTGTGAAGGTAATGGGCTTGCTGTCGTCTGGTCTAAGTAAAGCAGGACAACACAAGGGAAGTCAATCTATAACAAGGCTCGTTAAGAAGGCAGCAGCTTTTGTCCCTGTGTTTAATCCTCTCCAGTAATTGTACAGAACAAGAAAAATAATCGAGTTAATCTATTATCTGAGAAACAAATCGTAACCATATGTGGCTGAGATCACAGTCACATCTCTCCCCAGGTTTAAAGTGTTCTGGGGATTCCAACATCTTTTACATTTATTTTAACAAACCATAGCAGATGGGTTGTGTACCCTTTCATGATTTTTGGCTATTTGGATGTGCTCTTCTAAGACATGCCTATTTATATTTTTTTGCTCATTTTCTGTTATTTTTGCCTTTTTTGTTTGTTTTCTTTTTTTTTGGAGACAGAGCCTTACTCTATCGCCCAGGCTGGAGTACAATGGTACAATCTGGGCTCACTGCAACCCCTGCCTCCCAGGTTCAAGCAATTATCCTGCCTCAGTCTCCAAAGTAGCTGGGATTACCGGGATGTGTCACCATGCCCTGCTAATTTTTGTATTTTTTAGTAGAGACAAGGTTTCACCATGTTGGCCAGGCTGGTCTCAAACTCCTGACCTCAGGTGATCTGCCTGCCTCAGCCTCCCAAAGTGCTGGGATTACAGGCATGAACCACCATGCCTGGCTGTAATTAGTTTTTAAGATTTCTTTGTATTTTACAGGTATTGGCTCCTTTCTTTTCCCTTTTGTTACCTGGTAAAAGGTATTGGCTCTTTATCTTGTATGGCAAATATTTTTTCTTCATCTATCATTGTCTCTTGACTTTTATCACACAGTGTTAATTTTTGGGGTATCAAGTACATCTTTTTATATTTGGGGTTTCTGTCTTTGCAGTTTTTCAAACCCTAAATTACTCTTATAATCTCCTAAATTGCATTCTAAATGTGTTGTTTAGATTTAAGACTACATCAGTTGGTGGTGGCTCACACCTGTTAATCTCAGCACTTTGGAAGGCTGAGGTGAGTGGATCACGAGATCAGGAGTTTGAGACCAGCCTGACCAACGTGAAGAAACCCGACTTCTATTAAAAATACAAAAATTAGCCAGGCTTGGTGGCACATGTCTGTAATCCCAGCTATTCAGGAGGTGGAGGCAGGAGAATCGCTTGAACCCGGGAGGTTGCGGTGAGCTGAGATCACGCCACCACACTTCAGCCTGGGCGACAGAGCGAGACTCCTTCTCAAAAAAAAAAAAAAAAAAAAAAGACTCTACACCATTTATCAACTGAATCATCTTTTCCTGATTGAAATAAAATACCACCTTTGTGGTATTTCTGGATTCTGTTGCACTACTTTCTTGCCAACAATATCATACTATTATTGTGGGTTTTTGCTTTGAGACAGAGTCTTGCTCTGTTGCCCAAGCTGGAGTGCGATCTCGGTTCACTGCACCTCCACCTCCCAGGTTCAAGCAATTCTGCTTTCTCAATCTCCCGAGTAGCTAGGATTACAGGCACCTACTACCACGCCTGCCTAGTTTTTTTTTTTTTTAAGTAAATACGGGGTTTCATCACGTTGGCCAGACCGATCTTGAACTCCTGACGTCATGTGATCCGCCCACCCTCGCTTCCAAAAGCGCTGGTGTGAGCCACCGCGCTAGCCTATTGTGTTTCATATATACTAATACTAGGTTCATCATCAGGATAGGCAAGCTCCTGCTCAGTTTTGTTTACAAGTTTTCCCACTATTGTAGTATTGTTTTATTTGATTTTAAGACCATTTAAATTATCTGAACTCCGCTTGGATTCCAATAGTAGTGCACATTTGTAATTTTTGGATTGACTACCTTGTCTTTTTAACTTGCAAACTACACAAAGAATGTCTTTCATCTAAGATTATATGTCGTTGCATCAGTTAAAATACTGTTTTGAATCCTTCAACAAGTCTTCTCTATTCATAGCTTTGTGGGTCACTTTTAATTTTTTTCAAAAAAAAACAGGAAGTCTTTTTTTTGAGAAGGAGTCTCGCTCTATCGCTAAGCTGGAGTGCACTGGCGCGATCCCGGCTGACGGCAACTTCCGTTTTCCGGTTTCAAGCTATTCTCCTGCCTCAGCCTCCTTAGTTGGGACTACAGGCACGCAGCACCACGCCCGGCTAATTTTTTGTATTTTTAGTAGGAATAGGGTTTCACCACGTTGGCCAGGATGGTCTCGATCTCGGGTCTCCCGAAGTGCTGGGATAACAGGCGTGACCCAACGCGCCAGGCCAGGAAGTCTTTATACCTGCAGCGTCAACAGAGCCGGTTTTCCGGCGAGCGCCAGCCCCTCCCTTGCTCCCGTCCAAGGTTCCGCGTTACCATGGGAACAAATATTGACGTAACTTAGAGCTTCCGTGCCGGACCGGAGGATCTGTGGTAAAGGGAGAGGGGCGGATAGACGGGTTTGCCCCATCTACGCATGCGCACTCCCAGCTCTAGCCTTCCCTCCGCCATAAATCTTGTTCCGGCTGGGCCTTTTCCGTCGCGACTTCTCGCTCAATCCCGCTCAATCCCGGAGAAACTGTCCCTTGGGGGAGGGGATTAGAAAAAGGCTGGAATCAGCTACAGCCAATCCCGCGACATTACGACGCACGCGAGATTGATTGACTCCACAACCGCAGCCAATGAGAGAGCTCGTCGCCGATCCGTCAGCGTCCGCCCCACCCCATCCCCTCCTTTCTGGACTTGGAGCTCAGTTCGCGCAGTAACAAATGAAGTGCGCGCTGCGACACCTCCCAGCCCACGGGACTCCGCCGCCATTTCCTCGCCAGCCCTAACGGTTCGGCCAATCCCAGCGCGCATCCAGAAGGACCGAGGCTCCGCCAATCGGAGGCCGCCGATTTCGACCCTTTGCCTCGGCCCGGCCCAATCCAGGCCCCGGCCCCGCCACCCTCGGCCCGCCCCCGCGGCGCCCTCTCTCCTCCCTCTTTGTGCGT